AACATTCAATCCCACTTGCTTGACAAATCCGCGATACCAACCTCCGAGCAATGTTCCAAACACCGCGTTGCCCCAGAAAAAAAAAGTGGAGTGGGGAAACGAGAGGAAAGAAGGAAGGCTGAAGCAAAGAAGAAAAGAGTCATCATCCCCTTGGGGGGAAGCGGAGGTAGCGCGAGCGCCGATAATGATTCGAATCCCGACCCTCATCCCCTGACCTTTCGCCAGCGGAACTGCCGCTGATATTTACGAGATCGTTGCGTCGTCGAAGGAAGAAGAAGCGAAATGAAAAAGAGGAATGTCATCGTTTGTCGGGTCAAGTGTGCACCACCGTGCACGCGAGGGATGCGTTGGCAGCCGGTGCAACCCCGGGGTGGCCGGGTGGCTGTTAGTCTCGCCACGAGCCTCTCTCTCTCTCTCTCTCTCTCTCTCCTTCAGCTCGTTGGACGGGCCCCGCGATAGACCCTCGTGCCGACGCTTTTTACGGTGACGGACGACTCCTAGAGGCGTGTCGACATGTGCAACGGAGCCGACGAAGGGTGGGCTCGCGTGATCGAAGCCCGAGGAGGACGCCCACGGAAATCACGGGGTCGCGCAATCGCAGAGACCCCTCTCCCCTCCCCTTTACGTCTTCGCGATGGGAACGCGCATCAGCTCGCATCGTCTCGTCGCAGCTGATTCCAACCTTTTTCCATCCGAACTTTGATCCCTTTGCGATCGATGCTCTCTGAAACCAATTCGAAAAAAGAAAATTTCTCCTCTCTTCTCTGTTGGTTCGAGAACGTAAGGCGTTGTAAAAAATGCTAATGCACTCTATTTGCTGCGAGGTGGGAATTTTTATTCAAACTAGGGAGAATTTGAATGCGTTGGTCACATCGTGTGATCTTCATTCGTGGGATCTTAATTGTGGCCGCTGACAGGAATGCTTCAAATGTGTTTCGAGCATCGTTGAAAAAAGTTCCTGAACTTTGAATTTGATTTCGATCAACTGGACAATATTGTGAAACAAAAAAGATGCACCGTTCGACGATTAAAGAAAGAAGCTGTAGATCCCCGATGGGGGCCATAATGGTGATCGGAATGTTTCGAATTTTTCAGACGAACGAAACAAAACGAGCAAATTTTGAATTTGTTTCTGATCTACTAGACAATATTGTATTGCGAAACAAAAAAAATTCACTGTTCGACGATTAACTGTGGTGGTCGTCGGTGATCAGAGTGCTTCAAACGTTTCGAATGAATAGAATAAAAATTAGTATCGTCAAAAGAGGAAAATTTCGAATTTCATCTTGTCTAACCAAATATACACTACTCGACGATATTGAAGATTTCGACTTGAACACCACACGTCAACAAAAATTAAATAATTTAAATTAAAAATCTCGTCATACAACGATTAAAAATTAAACACCACGTTATACAAAAATTAAATAATTCTCTCCTCCCCTTAAAGCATCGTGTATACAAGTCTGACATAAATCAACGTGTTAACGTTTCGTTTAAAACGGCGAGATCCGCTGGATTCGAAGGTTAACAGAGGCGTTCAGAGAGATTTCGGCTATGAAAAGCCCCCGAGGATCATCGACGCGTTTACGATTCGCGTCGCGGAAACCATAATCGGCGAACGGGCGAAAGAATGTAAAATTTTTCCACCTGACGCGCGGAGAATGGGCAACAGATGGCTCGGCGGGCATGCACTTTGCATGCACTGCCCATAAAATCATTTATGCGAACGCGTCACCTTCTTCCCCGTAGGTCCGGGGAACGAACGGGGAAATCGTTCGACAGTAATCGAACGATTTGCCAACCACATGGCGTAGCAATATACTTTTTCATCGGCAAATAACGCGTTCGTTAGTTACGCGCCATTGCACTTTTTTGGTTTTTTCGCAGTGAAATCCTGTTTTTTTTTTTTTTTTTTTTTTTTTTTTCTTTTGGCTTCCGTCAAACGAGCGATACCACGAGAGAAAAAAAGGAGTATAAGCGACGTAATAAGCGATTATTTTGTGATTATTGAGAGAAGGTAGACGCGCTTTTGTTAAATGTCGCGCTTGCATGAATCATCGCGGTGTCGCAATTTATATGACACGACGCTGTTTAATATTTCCTCTCCTGTATGTGTAAATGTACAGGCAAATCGTTAATACCGAGTGAAAATCAATAGGCTAGCTTATACCAAATGCCGTTTATGCTTGTAATTATAATATCATTGCAATGTGGCATTATATTATATAATGTTAATAAAATTTATATTTTATATTATATCGTATTGTATACTACATTATATAATGCTTATAATTATAATATCATTGCAATGTGATGTTATATTATATAATGCTTCATATTTATATCATATATATCATATAATGTTAATAAAACTTATATTTTACATTATATATTGCTTGTAATTGTAATATCATTGCAATGTGGTATTATATTATATATGGATTTATATTTTATATTATATAATGTTAATAAAATTTATATTTTATGTATATATAATGCTTATAATTATAATATCATCACAATGTGATGTTATATTATATAATGCTTCATATTTATATCATATAATGTTAATAAAACTTATATTTTACATTATATTACATTATATATAATATTATATATTGCTTGTAATTGTAATATCATTGCAATGTGGTATTATATTATATAAGGCTTTATATTTTATATTATATAATGCTTATAATTATAATATCATCACAATGTGATATTATATTTTATAATGCTTTTTATTTATATCATATAATGTTAATAAAACTTATATTTTACATTATGTTACATTATATATTATATTATATATTGCTTGTAATTGTAATATCATTGCAATGTGATATTATATTATATAAGGCTTTATATTTTATATTATCTAATGTTAATAAAACTTATATTTTATATTATATTACATTATATATTATATTATATATTGCTTGTAATTGTAATATCATTGCAATGTGGTATTATATTATATAAGGCTTTATATTTTATATTATCTAATGTTAATAAAATTTATATTTTATATTATATAATGCTTATAATTATAATATCATCACAATGTGATATTATATTTTATAATGCTTTATATTTTACATTATTTAATACTTGCAATTATAATATGATTACAATGTGATATTATATTATATAATTCTTCATATTTATATCATATAATGTTAATAAAATTTATATTTTATATTACATTGTATTACATATTATATTATATAATGCTTGTAATTATAATATTATTGCAATGTGGTATTATATTATATAATTCTTTATATTTTATATTATATTATATACTATAATTATATAATGCTTATAATTATAATATCATCACAATGTGATATTATATTATATAATGCTTCATATTTATATAATGTTAATAAAATTAATATTTAACAGTATATTTAATATTAAAATATTTTATATTATATTGCGTTATATATTATATATTACTTGTAATTATAATATCATTGCAATGTGGTATTATATTATATAGGGCTTTATATTTTATATTATCTAATGTTAATAAAATTTATATTTTATATTATATTGTATACTATATTATATAATGCTTGTAATTATAATATCACTGCGATATTATATTGTATCATGTGATTCGTGTGTGTGACAATTGTGAAATTATCACACTACTATGTCACTACTATGACGTAACATAGATGCTCTCGTGGATAATGTTTCTGAATCTCTCTGAGAAATCAAGAACCGCCAGAGAGTAATTTTTTTTTTTTTTTTTTTTTTTTTGAAAAAAAAAAAAAAAAAAAAATAAAAAAGGAAAATATCATCGTTAATCCTGATACACGCAATGTAACTTCGCGATGTTAATTGCAATTATTATCAACACCTTTTGCATTCGCACGTGTTTCCGCCGGCTGATCATTCACACCAAGACCACACTAACTAACGCTTACGCTTACTTTTTCCCGGCGATCGGTGAGAATATCTCGTAGTAGGTCATCGATTCAAGTGCAACTTGTTTCAATGTGTTTCAATGACTGAACACATTGAACCGACGAATGTTAAGCGCAGAATTGAGAGGTGGCCAGATGAGGACGCTCGAAAGTAGCATTATCTCAAGGCGAGGCTAACCCTATGCTATTGTTGGTCGTTTTATAGGATGGACGCCGAGAGGTAGTCGCAATCAAGCTTGTAGACAAATCGTCACTCTCCAAGTCGGCTGTCGATAATATCGTCACGGAGATCTATCTCCTGAAGATATTACGCCACGAGAATATCGTCGAGATGAGGGATTTTTTTTGGGACGAAGGGTTAGTCCGTTAAAAGTTCAGCATTTCGAAGTAGAGAGAAAAGACACAAAGAAAAAAAAAAAAAAACTATGTACGCCAAAAATATCACGTACACGTGTATGCGTGTGTAGACAACGTGGTCAACACATGGGCTCAAGATTTATTTTCAGTTTCATCTTTGAGACAAGCGAAATCCATTATTAACATTTTACCATTATTTCGTAGAGCATTAATATTCTATCATGCTAGAAACATGTATTTTTAACGAAGGTACGGGTGGGGGAGGGGTTAAAATTTATTTGCGATTTCATTTCTGAAATGGTGGATAATGAGCGAGATCTGTTTAATATTCTACTATTTTATCATGAATATTCTATTATAATGGGTTAAATAGAATATGCGGGATTAAGAGAATAATAAATGAAACGTATTTTCAATATGTTTAGAATATTAATGCCCCACTCTGCTCCAGTATTTGTTATTATTATCCGCGATCTTGATTGGTCGTCTACATTCTCGAACGATGGCGGCACAGTCTTTTTTTTTTTATTACTGGCTGTTTCGTATTTAGAATTTAGCATTCGGAATTATTGTTTAAACTAATTAGGGGATTATAAACTCTCGCGTAGGCCGAGTTTCAATCCGCGACGCGAAACACCAAGCGGTTTGAATGTCACTGTCACGTTTATGGATAACTTTAATTTTCATTCGAAATTCGCGAAGTTTCACAGAACAGAAACATGTTGATCTCATCTCCAAATGCAAGATTCATTAACGTCCGACATTAAGGCCCTTCGCCATTTGCGAGTTGCTCTCGAGAGTATTTCTCACCAAATGGATACTACTTCTCTGAGAGTTACCGTCCGAGAGCATCGATCAACTGTTTGAAAGAAGAAAGAAATGGAGAATACTGTCGCAAGAAACTCTCAAATGGAGAATGGCCTTTACGCTACTCGAAAAAATGGTAATGATCCTCTGATTAATTTAAACAACGCGAGGAGAAAAGTGTATCATCCATCGTTCGGCATAACGCAGGCACATATACATCGTGATGGAGTACTGCGACGGCGGCGATCTGTCGAGTTTTATAAAGAGGAGGCACAAGCTACCCGAGAAAGTTTGCCGCCGATTTTTGCAGCAGCTAGCGCTCGCCCTGCGATACCTGCGCAACAACAACGTCTGCCACATGGACTTGAAGCCGCAAAATTTATTGCTCGCTCGAAGGCCGCAGTTGACGTTAAAAGTCGGAGGTTCGTTCCAACGTTCTTAAACTCTCGCTTCTTCTTTCTTCTGATTCTATAGAATTCGCCACGAGACATACAGCGTCGACTTACAACAACAACAACAACAACAACAACAACAACAACAAGTTACATCATTATGTTCGTTTATTCGTTTATTTAGATTTCGGTTTCGCTCAGTATCTCTCGAATTCGGAGCAAAAGTTCGCGATCCGCGGCTCTCCGCTTTACATGGCGCCGGAAATCTTATTGAAACACAAGTACGACGCGCGGGTCGATTTGTGGAGCGTCGGCGTGATCATGTACGAGTGCCTTTTCGGCAAGGCGCCCTATTCTAGCGGCAGCTTTCAGGAACTGGCTGAGAAGATCAAGGACTGCAGGCCTATCGAGGTGATTATCGTGGTTTCTTTCATTGTCCGTTTCATTCACGTGTGTAAGTAACGGGTTGTTCGATAATCGACGGACTCCGCGAACTCCAGCGCAGTCTCGCCGCTGTGTTTGAAAGATGGGATCGAGCACCTCGCTAGCATCTGAGCCCCAAATGTCTGTAATTGGCTTCTGTGTCGCTGAGGGTCTTCTCGCATCCAACGGTACAATCGACGGTGTATCATTTAACCCACGGGGGGGGGGGGG